AAAGAATATCATGACTCACTACTTTCACTCATCTATGTTGAAAACAATTAAATTTTGTTATATCTTAGTTTATATCTCTTAAACATATTTTAATTACATGATTTCAATTTTCACTTATCAAAATATTTTTTGCAAAATTTTTAAATTATTTTTAAGAATAACTATACTAGACGACATATGTTTATATCTCTTTATGTAAAATTTTTAAAATAAAAACAAAAAAAATATAATTAATTATTGATCAAATTAAATTTATGAAAATATTTAACTTTTATCAATTTAAGTATGATAGATATTTCTAAAATTTTGAAAATTTTGAAATATTTATGTATTATATATGGTATATAATTTTATTTATAAATATTAAATATATATATATATATTTAATCTGAATATCCATTAAGTGAGATTTTTTACTTATATTTTTTATCATCATTTGTATTTTATTATAACAAACAACTTTTAGCCATTCATTATAAATTTTTTAGGTGAGATACTTATAAGTTTAGTAATTTATAATCGTTTTACAAAATTCAAAATATAACAGATACGGAAAATCTAAAGTATTTATTTTATGAAATTCTTTTAAAGTCTTAATGAGGTATGCTCGTCCGCCTTCGCATTTCAGGCCTCCTCCAGATATGCCGCCGTGTAACCCTCCACTTGAAGTTCCTTCTCCNTAGCTTGTGATATACCGGTGTTCTTAATCTCATTTGGTTCTACGTTTGCGACCTCTAGTAGCATTTATATTGCCTTAGCGCAATCGTCTGCGCATACAGTTCTCTTACGGGTTCCGTTCTGGATAATATGTGTTTGTGTATCTCTCTTCTTGGTGACAGGTAGAAGAGAAAATCACTGTCATCTTTATCCCGATGAACACTACAAGAAAAATGCGTTTTAATAGCGGACGAGGATAGCATTTTTTACGTTTGTGCTATGATTGATATACCCGTGTTTTTAAGATAACGTTTGTATTTTCAGAAACGCTATGATAGAGTGGTATACTTAAAAACGCTATGGAAACTTAGGATTTAATTGCAAAACTAACTAAAACGCTATGTTTGGATCTTTGAATCTTTAAACCCTAATTTAACTTTTAAACCCTAAACCCTAATATCCAACACTTATCTATAACTTTTTGTATTTTTAAAACTTTAACCTCATACCATGTATCTAACATACGAAACCCTATACCTAAACCACATACCACATACTTCAAACGATATAACCCATCTTTTTTTTTTAATTGAATCTCTTACATTTTTTAATCTATATCCTAACATTACATCATGTTTAAAGCATAAAGCTCAAATTTCTTTTTCAAACTTGAATTTCAGTTATTATCCTAAAACCTTTTGATTCTATATTTCAAACTCTAAACTCTATAATAAATACACTAAAACGTTCATTTTTACATCTTTTACCTGAAAAATAAATAAAATAAAATACTAACTAAATTTCTTAAAACATTATCGAAAAAATAATATGATATAGCAAAAAAAAGATAGAAAATAATGAAAAACACTCATTGGCTATTGAAAATTGGTGGGGATAAGCAACATTTAATCTCCACCGTTGGTAAACCTTAATCTTGGTGATGAACTCTCCTCTCATTGGCTAATAAAGAAGGGCAAAGATCACCCCTGGTTAGATCACAACCATTGACTAAAAATCATCCAACGGATGTAGTTAAACTTGTTTTTTTATTTCTTATTTCTTTTCTCCTTTCTCTCTTCTCTGCCTCCTTCTCCTATTCTCCGCCTCCTTCTCCTCTTCTCTTTCCTTTGCAAGTCTCTCACAGTTCCAGAACTTATCTCTCTCACTTTTTGTATTGTAAACGAGTGATTCTTACATTGTCATGCATCTCTTATGCTTTAGTATATTTGGTCTGTAAATCTAAGATGTGAGAGAAGAAGAAGAGTCAGAGAAGAAAACAAGATTCGTCGGAGAAGACTGGTTTTTCTAGCCGCTTCTCAGATCCGTATTCACCGGTCTCTCTCTTCACCGTACCACTACCACCGTCACCACACTGGTCACCTCTCTCTCTCTCTCTCTGTCTCTCTTTGTTTGTGTTTTGAATTTGTTCCTGTTACAGGAAGGTAGACAAGGCAGAGGGGCTTGATGGAGGAGGAGGTATCAGAACCGTTGTGTGACTGGAAGACAGCGACGTGAAGCTCCAGTGGTGACGCAGACAGTGGTGGTGACGAATGGAAGAGGAAGACAAGGACTCCACGGCGGCTCTTGTGATGTGGAAGACGATGACGGCTAGCATTTTTGCTTCTAGGTTTTAGATTAGGGTTTGGTTTAGATATAAACCGGTTTAAGTTTAAACCAATATTACTTTGTAAACCGATTTTATAATAAATCAAATTATTGTTTATTTGATTTGTGATTTTAATTTTTAATTTTTTTTTATTTAATTTTTTTTCTGTAATAACAAAAAATAAACGCTATTGAAGAATATTAAATTGCAAATAAAAAAGCGCTATCGATTCCAAAGAAAAGATAGCATCGCGAAAAAGTGTTATCTAATGTGCCATACCTATTATGACGGGCGATGATACAGCGTTCCTTAAACCGCTGTTAAATCATTAGATAACGTTTTTCGTCCGCTAATAAAGCTCATTTTTTTTGTAGTGGAACATGGATGTGGTGGTTTATGATTTCCTGCTTGTCCCTCGTTTGAATCAGTTTTCTTTCCTAATATTTCTTCTTTTATGGAGTGAATTGGATAAACAAGCTTCGTTGGTATTGTAAGGATCTTGCTCCCGTCGAATTCTTTTCTCTGCGTATGGTGCAGTGTGTGTGGTCGTACTGTTTATACTAGATGTGGTCTTCGAAGAAGCTTATGATGTTGTTGTGACGATTTGATATGGTTCTTTTTTGTGATTTGTATCGCCATTTTTCTTGTTTTAGACCTAGTATATGAACTCGATGAATATAAAGAACACACTTTATTAGCTTAAGAAAATCTCTCAAAACTTAAGCTCTCACACAATAATCTCTCTCACTAGTAAGTTCATGGAACATTTTACCATCTTCTTATATAGAGATCAATTCCTAAATCAAATAGTAAAACCTTTTATAATAAACATAACTTGAATGGGATTAATAAGACTTGTCTTTCAAGCTATCTTCATGTTTATTTCCAAAATTCTCCCCCTTAAACTTGAAGTCACCATGATTCAAGACTTGAACTCCAACTAGCTCTCTCATCTCAGTGAATTGAATTTTTCCCAAAGCTTTTGTTAGTATGTCAGCCCTTTGTAGATTGCCTGCGATATGCTCCACCTTCACTTGATCATTGTCGATGCATTCTCTTATAAAATGGTAACGCTTGTGGATGTGCTTGCTTTGTCCATGAAACACTAGATTCTTTGTGAGTGCAATTTCAGATTTGTTGTCTACTAGAACAAGTACTTTCTCACACGGTGTCTCCAATACTTCAGCAAACAATTCCTGCAGCCAGATAGCTTGTTTTGCGGCTTCTGTAGCGGTCATACACTCTGCTTCACACGAGGATAAGGTGACTGTTTCTTGCTTAGTAGAGCACCAAGTGATAGGACAGTTATTGAGGTAGAACATATGACCCGTGGTGCTCATCCCATCATCAATATCAACATTGTTACTACTGTCGCTATACCCCACCAATGATGTATTGTTTGATCGTTTGAAATTGAGTCCATATGCAACAGATCCCTTTACATACCGTAGAACTTGTTTTAAAGCTGCAGCATGTGACTTTTTCGGCTCGTGCATATACCTACTTAACACACCAGCTGAATATGAGAAGTCTGGTCTTGAATGTACGAGATAGTGAAGGCATCCTATAGTTCTTCGATACACCTTCTCATCAACATTTAACTCTGCTTGTGCCTTAGAAAGCTTCAAACCTGCATCCATTAGGAATTGAGTTGCATTACACTCAGCCATATTTGTTCCTTCCAAGATCTTCTTTGCATAACTCTCGTGCTTCAATGTGATACCGCCATCAAACTGCAAGACGTCAATGCCGAGATAGTATGTTAATAAGCCAAGGTCACTCAGCTCGAATTTTCTCGCATATTTTTCTTGACTCAGTTATTAACCCGAGACTTGACCATGTTATAAGTATGTCATCGACATACACGGCCACAAGAAGCAAGTGTTCCTCCTTTTCCTGTGATAAAGTGATGTCTCCTTTGTGCATCTTGTGAACCTTAAATCTTCTAGTGCTTTGTTTAGCTTCCCATTCCACGTTCTTGAAGCCTGTTTTAAGCCGTATAAAGCTTTCTTTAGTTTATATACCTTTTCCTCACTTCCTTTGATTACATAGCCCTCAGATTGACTGACATACACGTCTTCTTTCAAATCACCATGTAAGAATGCTGTTTTGACATCTAGATGGTGTATTTCCCATCCATTTGAGGCCGCCAAAGCTATTAGAAACCGTATGGTTTCTATTCATGCAACTAGAGCAAAGACTTCCTCATAATCTATTTCGTGCTTTTGAATGTACCCCTTTGCCACCAATATTGATATGTGCTTGTTTATAGTTCCATCTGAGTTTCTTTTGATCTTATATAGAGCTTTTATCCCTTTTATTATTGTTGTTGTTGTTTGTTTGGCTGTCAATAGCCTCTTTGTATTCTAGTTTGCTGGAGTGTAAACATGTTTATGATTAATGCAAGTTTGGTTTGATCAAAAAAAAAGCTACAAACATAAGCAGATTAATTCGACTCTGGTGATGAAATGGAAAGTTTGGATTTATCGTTGTGGAATCCAAGATATGTATATCTGATGGTTTTATAAACAACGCTTGATGTTGCAAAAAGGTTATCAACATTCCAGGTTTTCTAACCATATTCTTTGTTATTTAAGTTTAGCAGTTGACACTTTGTGAGTTTAGTTTATTCTAAGCAAGAATACTTTTTAATGTCCACTTGATTATCTGAAAACAGATTAATATTTCAGGAACCTGACAAGATGTTGATATCAAACTCCTCAAAGAATTTGAGAAAATGGTGAGGCATCTTCATGGAGTTTTGTATGTGTTCATTATCACATTTTCTCTTATACATTTAGTTCAAGCGCAGGATCAAAAAGGTATATGTATTGTAAATCTTGTATTCTACTTTCAAAGCCTTAGATTGATTAAGACTCTTTTATTCCTTCCTATGTTCTTGTTAGGATTCATCACTTTGGATTGTGGTTTGTTACCTGATGGGTCTCCATACACCGATCCATCTACCGGATTAACATTCACCTCAGATGCTAGTTTCGTTGAGAGTGGAAAGAACGGTCGAGTTGATAAAGATTCTGAGAGAAACTTTGAAAAGGCGTTTGTAACGCTGAGATACTTCCCAGAAGGGCAACGGAACTGTTACAACGTGAAGGTCACGCAAGGAACAAAGTATCTGATTAGAGCTTCCTTCTTTTATGGAAATTATGATGGTCGTAACATAATCCCAAACTTTGATCTGTTTCTTGGCCCTAATAAGTGGACAACGGTGAATTTGAGTGCTACTGTTCCAGGTGGTCAGTATAGGGAGATTATTCACATGTCCAAGTTAAGCTCTTTGCAGATCTGTCTTGTGAAGAAGGGAACAACTACGCCTATGATATCAACCTTGGAGTTACGGCCAATGAGAAGTGATATCTACATTAGTGACACTGGGAGCTCCTTGCAGTTCTTATCAAGAACTTATCTTAAAGGTTCTGGTAGCATTTTACGGTAAGTAAGCTTTGATTTGTGATAGAGATTTCATAAAACAAGGAAAACAAAGAGCAACGCGTATGTCTTTGATACTTACATTAGTACCAATGTGGTTTTGTTTTATCTCTAATGCAAGATTTGTGGCAGGTACCCTGATGATGTCTATGACCGTAGGTGGTTCCCGATGGTAGAGAAGGAGTGGACTATAGTAACTTCAACCCTCAATGTAAACACTTCTAATGGTTTTGATCCGCCTCAAAGTGCGATGGCATCGGCTGCAACCTATGTAAATGTCAATGGGACATGGGATATTCCTTGGACCATTGATGATTCTATAACACGGTTTCACATTTACCTTCACTTTGCAGAGATTCAAACTTTGTTACCCAATGAGACCAGAGAATTCATTGTTTTTCTGAACGGAAATGAATTTTCTGAACCTTTTAGTCCTAAAAAGCTAAGCATTGAAACTTTGAACACTCGACCTGAATCGACATTGAGATGCCAAAGAGGGGCTTGCCTTTTACAGCTGGTGAAAACAACAAAGTCAACTCTTCCTCCTCTCCTTAACGCTATGGAGATTTTTACTGTTGTTGAACTTCCTCAGTCAGAAACAAACCAACAGGAAGGTGAATTTACATTTGATGAACAGAAATCTGCACGTGTTTTCAATTCTTAATATCATTAACTATGTAATGCCTCCAGTGGTTGCTATCAAGAAGATCCAAATTGCTTATGGACTGAGTAGAGTTAGTTGGCAAGGAGATCCATGTGTCCCCAAAGAGTTCTTGTGGGCTGGTCTAAACTGCAACAACACCGATATTTACACTCCACCAACAATTACTTCCTTGTAAGTTGTTACAATCTTTCTATCATGGTTAAGTCTTTTCTTTCGTGTTCAAAAAAAAAAAAGGTTAAGTCATTTCTTTGTTCTAAATGTATTATTATTTTTTTCTTTTTTTTTTGCTAAGAAAAAATGTATTATATTTGTTCGTGACTGTATTCCCAGAAACCTATCTTCAAGTGGATTAACCGATATAATTATGCATGTTATTCAGAATCTAACCAATCTACAAGAACTGTAAGTATCAAACATAAATGAAGTATATGTACTCACAAGTTTTTTGGTTTGTCTACTGTGATGGATACTTTGTTTTTATCAATTCCTAGGGACTTATCAAACAACGAATTGACCGGTGTTGTGCCTGAATTTTTAGCTGACATGAAATCTCTTTTTATCATGTAAGTCCTTAAGACTGTATGAATGAAGCATAAAATGGTCAAGTTAATACTCTCCTAAATTTCTTATGTGTGTTATATGTATCATTTTTTCTACAATAACAGAAACTTAAGTGGAAACAATCTTAGTGGCCAAGTTCCTCAAAAGCTTCTACAAAAGAAAGGACTGAAACTGAAGTATGACACTTCTCATCTTATCTTCATTTGTTGAATACCACACAATTTATACTGAATAGCATTTATGATTCACAGTGTTGAAGGCAACCCTAACCTTAGTTGCACAGAAAGGCCATGTGTAAATAAACCTAGAGAAACTGGACATGCCAAAAAGAGTATAACTGTGCCAGTTGTTGCATCAGTTGCTTCAATGGTTATTATTGCAACTGCATTGGTTACATTTTTCGTTCTCAAAAGGAAAAAATCATCAAACAATAGAGGTATTCATAAAAAAATTCATTAATTTTCATCTATACAGTAACACTACATATCAAACTACAAAAACATATTAATATTTTGTATTGCAGAAAAGGGAAGAACACCAAGATCGGAGCCACCGAGAATAACTAAGAAGAAAAGATTTACTTACGCAGAGGTTACTGAAATGACAAATAACTTTGAAAAGATTCTTGGGAAAGGAGGGTTCGGCATGGTTTATCATGGATATTTGAATGGTACCGAACAAGTTGCTGTTAAAGTAGTTTCTCAGGGTTCAGTTCATGGGCACAAACAATTCAAAGCAGAGGTACTCGTAAAACTACAATCGTTTATCACGTTTTTGTTAAATATGAACCATTTATTTGTATATTGATATCGTGTTGGTTTTAGGTTGATCTTCTTCTGAGAGTTCATCACAAGAATTTGGTAGGCCTGGTTGGATATTGCGAAAAAGGGAAGGACTTGGTTCTTGTCTATGAATACATGTCCAATGGAGACTTGAAAGAGCTTTTGTCAGGTAAGCAAATATGATACACAGGCCAGACACCACATCCCTCTTGAATCTAAGCTAACGCCTTACTAAAAAAACATAGGGAAACCCCACACCTCTGTTTTAAGATGGGGAACTAGACTAAAAATAGCGGTGGACTCTGCGCAAGGTTAGTGAAGCTTAGTGATCATTTCCTCTCAATAACTTTAGTTTTACATATATGATAAACTTCAACAAAAAAAAAAGCATTTGTTACACTAGGATTGGAGTATTTGTATAAAGGATGCAGACCAGCAATTGTTCATAGAGATGTAAAAACAGCAAATATTTTGTTGGACGAAAACTTCCAAGCCAAAATTGCCGATTTTGGGCTTTCTAAATCATTCCCAAACGATGGAGAGAGCCATGTATCCACAGTTGTTGCAGGAACTCTTGGTTACCTTGATCCAGAGTACTTAACTATCGTTTTGAAAACATATGTGTTCTGCTCTTACTTCAACACATTAAAAGTCCTGACAATATCTTTATATTCTCGCTTGCAGATACTACCAAACAAATTGGTTGACTGAAAAAAGTGATGTATATAGTTTTGGGGTCGTTTTATTGGAGATTATAACAAATTTGCCAGTGATTGACCAGCATCGTGAAACACCATACATAGCAGAATGGGTGGGAGTAATGGTCACCAAAGGAGATATTAAAAACATTATAGATCCAAGACTTAAAGACGATTACCACTCTGATTCTGTTTGGAAATTTGTTGAGCTAGCAATGGCTTGTGTCGACGCTTCTTCAGCGAGTAGACCGACCATGTCTCAAGTTGTTATTGAGTTAATTGAATGTTTAACACTTGAAAACTCGAGAGGAGGAAGGAGTTGTGACATGGAATCCAGGGGTTCAAGAGAAGTGACCATGACATTTGGAACTGAAGTGAACCCCGCGGCTCGCTAGGTTTGCACAAAGAAGAATCTTCCGCTGCATTTCCATTGTGTATTTTTAAAATAATTCAGAAACGTTTTGTCTGAAGTAACAAATTTGATATTAGTACAACTGCAATTAAAAAAAAAAAAAAAAAAANTTTTTTTTTTTTTTTTGGAAAAAACAATATTGGTTGTCAGAAATAATTCACAATTACTTCATTAATATAGAAAGGGTGATAAGATGACCACATTTTAAAAATAAACAATTAGGGGGAACATAGTACAACTAATACTGACTCCGTTCATCACAAACATAGCAAAAGAACCGTGTGTTCAAAGAAACTTCAAGCTTCAGATAGATTTGTTTTTACAGACTTGATTCATCTAGCTCCAGGATTAAGCTGTGTTGTGAGATTCACCGACAGCTTAATCGAAGAAGAATCGTTTGTTGAATCCGTCATCCGACTTCCCATGTTTCTTGCCATCTCCATGTTCAGACATTCTTTCAGGTCCATAACTACTTGAGTCATCGTCGGTCTCCTTGAAGAAGACGGATTCAGACAAGTCATTGCGGTCTCAACAACTTTCCATATCGTGTTCGGATCAAAGTCTCCTTGAAGCTTAGGATCCACAATGCTATTTATATCTCCTCTTGATAGCATCAAACCAACCCATTCACCTATATGTGATCTTTCCCTTTTCTGGTCTATCACGGGTTGGTTTGTTACTAGCTCAAGTAGAACAACACCGAAGCTGAACACATCGCTTTTCTCTGTCAACCAGTTCGTTCTGTAGTATCTGAAAATGAAAGAAAGACAAACACACAATGTTAAAAGAGTCAACAGGAAATAAAACATTCAATAACCTTGTTGAGAGAAGAGACGGAGATTTACTCAGGATCAAGGTATCCAGGAGTTCCTGCGACAACAGTGGAGACATGAGTCTCAGTTCCAAGTGGGAAAGACCGTGAGAGCCCGAAATCCGCAAGCTTAGCTTGGAACTTGTCGTTTAATAAGATGTTAGTTGTCTTAATGTCACGGTGGACTATTTGCGGTTTGCATCCATTGTGCAAATACTCCAATCCTTGAGCTGATTCGGCTGCTATACGAAGCCTTCCTTCCCAAGTTAGTATCGACGGTCCACGCTTCCCTGAAAATCATATTTCGGAACAAAAATATCAGAATCTTGAGACCCCCAAACATTTTAAGAACATTTTGTATGACAAGCGCAGACCTGATAAGTGCTCTTTTAAGTCCCCATTCGCCATGAACTCATAGATGAGAGACAATTTATCTCCTTCTTCGCAGTATCCGACAAGACACGTGAGATCTTTGTGATGAACTCTAAGAAGCAACTCAACCTAACAAGTAAACAAAAAAAAAAAAAACATATCTAAGAAGAAAATCAAAAACACCATTTTTAATGTTTTAGATAATTATTTGGTTCAATAACTATTCAGTATGTTATATTACCTCTGCTTTAAACTGTTTGTAACCAAGTGCAGTAGACTCAGTGAGCATCTTAACAGCAACTGGTTCATTATCCAATACTCCGTAATAAACAACACCAAAACCTCCCCTACCAAGAACCCTCTCAAAGTTGTTTGTTATCTTAACAACATCAATGTAAGTCAATTTGCGGTTCTTGGCTATCACTGGAGATTCATAACCATGGTGAGACCTCGAATGTAAAGGTGTTGTACCGGTTCCTGGATTGGTATTAAAACCAAGCTTGACTCTCTTCTTCCTCTTGAGGATAAGGAAAGTAAGGATTCCAGCTGCAATGAGGAAGACTGAAACAAGAGAGGCTGCAACAGGTGCAATAACAGTGTTTTTCTTCTTCTTCTTCTTTGTGGAGGCGCATGAAATGTACGAACATAGTCCGGTGTTTCCTTCGAGACTAGAGTTTCATATATGTGATTGTCAAAAAAATGTGATTAGGAAGGTCTAAGGATTTTATTTATTTTTAACCTTGGCTCATATGCAAGGATTAAATATTTACCTTAGTGAAATTGTTCCTCTTCGTGCTTTATCCAGGAGAGTTGCAGGGACTGAACCGTTTAGCTCATTGTTTGATAGGTTTCTGCGCAAAACAAATTGAACAGAAGTTACAATATGTTTGGTTTCTTTTTGTTTATTGAGTAATTTTTTTAGATTTGAGCCACCTTGTGCTTGAACTTACATGACTTTTAAGGTTTCCATGTTTGCTAGAAACTCAGGAACCGAACCAGTTAAAGTATTGTTAGACAAGTCACTGCAGAAAATCAAAGCCAAAAAAACATATCAAATCATATGACTCTAGATCACAACTTAGCTACAGTTTCTGAACGACTTCAGTATAACTACTTACAGAACTTCTAAATTGGTAAGTTCTGATATGATCTCCAATATCTCTCCAGTCAAGCCACTTGCAGACAAGTTCCTGTTTTCAAAGATCAAATATTTTAAAACCATTTGTAAAAAACGCATTATAAAGAAAAAAATTAAACTCTGTTTTGAAAACGTAACAAGATATATACTTACAAAGAAATGATCTTTGGTTGCTCATTGTCAATGTAACTACAATTAATACCAGACCACCTATAAGACCTTGGCGCGCAAGTATCTCCCTCCCAGTCAATCTTGTTCACACCGTAACCAGATTTGATGTGCATCATTGCATTAACTGATAAATAAACTTCTTTTGTAAAAATTTTGGCTCTTGATCAACAATAGATCACAATAGTAGTTAGTTTACCAACCTTCTTTACTATCGGTGTCTTGCTCCGGAAGCAAGTTAACCAAATAAACCTCCATGCCATTGAGTAGAGGAGGCAACGTCGAGTTTCCTGTCTTTTGAAGCGAAAACGTGTACTGACCATTTGCATCGGCAACAAATTCGGTCGGAGTAAAAACGGAAGAAGTGGTGAAATTAAGCGGTGTAAAGGGTCCGTAGATATGTTTGCCATTGTACATGATGTTGAACTCTCTTGTTTCATTGGGTTTAAGCTCTTGAATCTCGGCAAAATGCATAAAAACGTAGAATTGCACAGTGCGGTCCACGCCAACTAGGGAAATGTTCATAGGTGCGTCAGGGTCTGTTGGAACAGAGGCTGTGACCATAGCAATCTCTGGTGGTTGGTAGTCATTGTTGACATTCACTGTCTGGTTGGTACTAATCTGTGACCAGTTTCCAAAGTTATACGGTGTCCAGACACGATCAAACACATCGATTCCATACTTAAAACGAACAAAACAGAGCTTGTTATGACCATTTTTGTAGTTGTCTGACCTGACATGAACTTATCTAATACCTGTAGCCTTGGTTAAGAGTTGCGCCAACGTCAGCTCTGATGAAGAGCTGCAAAGACCCTTGTCGAGACAAGTAAGTTGTGTTTTTTAGTTTACGAAGCTCTAAAGCGGAGATGAAAGGCGTTGAGTCTCCTGTTTTGACCAAACAGATTTGTAAACGGTCGGTCTTCAAGACATGTATCATCTCAAATATTGATGCCTGGGTCTCATTTGTGGTTGAAACTGTAGTCCATAGGTTAGGCCCGAGGTAAAGCTCGAACTGTGTGGTGGGATTATCATCATATCCTCCATGTAAGAAGTTTGTTCTGATCAGATACTCATCGCCTATGGTTAGGTTTAGGGTATAGCAGTTTCTAATGCCTTGCGGAAAACTCCTTAGATTCCTTGTGAAAGAAGTAAACGATTAAAGAATAGCTTGAGCTTCAAGCTATTAAAATTAATTGATATTGAGAAAGTTATACATATATACCAAGCTTGTTGCTGAAACTGAGTCCGGTATGCTTGTTTGATACTTCTGCCAACACCAGTATTGATGTAATTCGCATCAGAGATGTAAGTAAGGTTTGTTGTTCCCTCACGAAAAGTAGTTCCACTCGGTGAACCACAGTCCAAACTGATGAACCCTAAAGAAGAAGTAAAAAAGAGTGGTTGGTAAACCGAACTGGGTTTGATGAAGATGTTATAACTATGCTTTTACCTGACTGATCTTGAGCATGACTAAGAAAAAAAGCTGAGAAGATTTGCAGAAGAACTAGGAGACGACAAGCAGAAAACGCCATTAACTTTTCGTCACTTTAGATTACTTTCTTCTTTTGATTTACAGATTATAAAATGAGGAATCAAATGAACATACAGTATATGGGGTGCAACTAATGAAATGAAAGTGGGAATTGTTTTTTCGTCTGAACCGCGTTGATACTTTGGTACTGGTTACTATTATTGAGAATCAAAGTCAAACTTTTTGGTAGAGGTATCTTTGATACTTTGATCAAAAAAAAAAAGAGAATCAAAGTCAAACTTTTTGGTAGAGGTAACCAATTGCGATTTTTTACGTTAATTCGTTGACTTATAAAAAAATACTTCATCTGTTTCATTATAAGTGTTACTTTACAGCTGTGCACACGGATTAAGGAAACAATTAATTTTATATATTTTAACCAATTAGAAAAATAAATTACATAATAAAATTAATAAATTTTTCATTGAAAACCGAAAACGACACTTATTTTTGTAACACAAAAAATTCTCTACAACGACATTTAATATGAAATGGATAGAGTATTAGTATATGTTAATAATTTACATATGGAGAAATTTTTTGCTAATTTTAAATTTCACTTTGAACTACGTGAATATTTTATTAAGCTCATTACTCCGGAATTGTTTTCCTTCTTTTTGTTATTAATTACGGTGCAACTCATCTTAATGAAGTCTAAGGATAATAAAAACATAAAAGATCCTTTCTCTTTTTTTTTTCATAACCAAATAACCGTATTTAATTCAGAATATAATTAATTTTGTTGTTTACCAAAAAAAATATATAATTAGTTTGGTAACAATATTTAGATTTATGCAATTTTACTATCATCTCATTAAAAAAATTCCTTAATTTTCTGAAAACTAAAACTATTAAGAGTGGTTGGTAAACCGAACTGGGTTTGATGAAGATGTTATAACTATGCTTTTACCTGACTGATCTTGAGCATGACTAAGAAAAAAAGCTGAGAAGATTTGCAGAAGAACTAGGAGACGACAAGCAGAAAACGCCATTAACTTTTCGTCACTTTAGATTACTTTCTTCTTTTTATTTACAGATTATAAAATGAGGAATCAAATGAACATACAGTATATGGGGTGCAACTAATGAAATGAAAGTGGGAATTGTCTTTTCGTCTGAACCGCGTTGATACTTTGGTACTGGTTACTATTATTGAGAATCAAAGTCAAACTTTTTGGTAGAGGTAACCAATTGCTATTTTTTACGTTAATTCGTTGAGTTATAAAAAAATACTTCATCTGTTTCATTATAAGTGTCACTTTACAGCTGTGCACACGGATTAAGGAAACAATTAATTTTATATATTTTAATCAATTAGAAAAATAAATTACATAATAAAATTAATAAATTTTTCACTGAAAACCGAAAACGACACTTATTTTTGTAACACAAAAAATTCTCTACAACGATATTTAATATGAATGGATAGAGTATTAGTATATGTTAATAATTTACATATGGAGAAATTTTTTGCTAATTTTAAATTTCACTTTGAACTACGTGAATATTTTATTAAGCTCATTACTCCGGAATTGTTTTCCTTCTTTTTGATATTAATTACGGTGCAACTCATCTTAATGAAGTCTAAGGATAATAAAAACATAAAAGATCCTTTCTCTTTTTTTTTCATAACCAAATAACCGTATTTAATTCAGAATATAATTAATTTTGTTGTTTACCAAAAAAAATATATAATTAGTTTGGTAACAATATTTAGATTTATGCAATTTTACTATCATCTCATTAAAAAAATTCCTTAATTTTCTGAAAACTAAAGATTTGAGAAAGAAGCCTTTAGTCAAAAAAAAATTTTGAGAGAGTCAGAACGGGATTGGTTGGTGAGGAGCTATTAGTAATAACTGAGCATGAAGAGACGACCACGACTTCAAAGAGAGAAGAAAAAACAAAACAAAAATAGCTGGTAACTATTACTCCCTCCGTTTCAAATTATATGTCATTCTAGTGTAAAATTTTCGTTTCAAAAAAAGTGTCGTTTTATAATTTTAATGTAAAATTTATTGATTTTAAATGTCATTCTATTTTTTCATTGGTCGAAAAGTGGTTTGGTGTATAGGTAATTGTGTTTTTATTTTGAAAATATGTAAACTTAATTGTTTTCTTAATCTGTGTGCAAAAACATAGAATGACAACTAAGTTGAAACGGAGGGAGTACAAGATTTATGAACATTATAGTCTCAAGTGGGCTTTAATATGAATTCATCTAACTTATTTAATGCAAAAAATTGGTTTAAAAATAAATAATGATAACAATATAAATATGTGTAGTGCATCATGGATAACTAGTATAAATACCTTTAAGGGTACATTTTCAATGAGTGAATTGGAAAAAAATGAAGTTTTTAAATGTTTTGGTATATTTAGAAATTGGCTATGATTTTAACTAAATTTTCTAGAAAACTGGGGATTAGGCTATTTGTCAGTAATAATTCTCTATGAGATCATTTGGAACTCCACCTAGACACCCAAAATTATCAAAAAAAACTTATAAAAGTGCTATTTTTTTTAATAATGACATATTTTAAAATAAAAATATAATAACATTAATTATTCTCTAAAAGCCGTTTGAAATCTATATGTAATACAAAATATTTTTATTTTAATATAAATCATTTTAATTTTCATATTGGATTCACTTCTTTTTTTTTTTTTGTAAAATTTAAAGGGATTTTTAAAGACAGTTATGAGTATAAAACTATAAATCGATAGATGACATCTAGTTTAGAAGATTCTGATCTTTTACACCCAATTCCAAAATAATTATGTAATCCAAAATACAAAAGAGTATTCATTATTCAAATTTTTAGAGAAGAACAAAAAAATCTCAAAGAGAAAGAGGGAGAAAATCAACTAAAATCAAGTTTACAAAATATGTTTTTGGACGTAATCGGCCGATGTCGATTCTCCAATCCCCTTAATATCACGCAAGAGATCGGACAACGAGTTGCACAAAAAAAAGATTGGACAACGAAAACGAGTGCACATGAGGACATGCATGGGGCCTAACCTTAGTTATGTTTGACCGTTAGACATTTTTTCCATTTCTGAAATATAAATATAATCTTTAAGACTAAAGTTGGTTTTTTTCTACTCTTTGGGGGGATTAGTAAACTTGTCACATTCTTATTCGTTGGTTTTTAATGGGTTTTGGGCTTCTATAGAAATTTGTTAAAAAATTTAAACGGGTTTGGTCTTCTACACAATGTTTAATATGTTTTATTAAGAGGTGCAGTGTATCGTCCTTCTTTGCTGCACATTCGTCCACATCCGACCTAAGTTATAGAGACCATAATCAGACGCCTATAACGTCCACATCGCTTCTTTGTAACGCCTCGAGGTTGCATTGACCCACTCTTCCCATTCTTAAGCATTCAATTGATTTTATCCCCTCCTTAGTGTAACCAAGAAAAACTCATACTATAAATATCTCCACACAAAGGATTCGGGTGAGACTCCCCAGTAGTTAAGAAGCGTTATGGACTGAATCAGCTCCCGCAAATTCAAAACTCTAAAGCTCACAGATGTTCTTTCAAACTTCCCAGATATCTCGGTAGTAATGTGTTCTTCTTCTTCTTCTTCTATCCCTTTGAAAACATAACAAATTCTTGCATATTAAATTTCATATCGTTTTAAGCCACCCTATTTATTATTCACTGATTATAGGTAAATCAAGTTTTAGTGAAAGTTACTCACAAAAAAAGACCCTTGAAACATCTAAGATGAAATATACAACTTGAGAATCTATCTTCCTCCTTTAACTGATCACTTCCTAACTTTCGGAAATCATGGACCAGCTGGACAAAACCGTGTTCTTTCTAGAACAAGATAGGATGCATACATCAAAAACGGAAACGAGGTATATAATAAATCATTTTCTACTGATTTAGTTTTAGTTCTTTTTGTTTTTTTTTTATTTATCTTCACCATCAACTAAACCCTAAATATACACTACGAAGCGAATTCAAGTTTGTGAAAAATGGATGTGATGGTAAAGTACTAAAGCTGCTCCAAAAAGGGGAGAGCTACAACTCCTTAAGACTATATGTACATGAAAGTGTGAGACTCTGGCTTCTTACTAGGTTCAAAAAGGATAGATATAAAGATGGTGCTAAAGTGCATTATTGATTTCTTTTTTTTGTTAAACTTTGTACCATTAGATGCAATATGTAACCACTGATCATTATAGAGCTTCACTACATGTTGGATGGTGAAGCCAACCAGACGTCATCAGTTTGTAAGCTAATCCAAGAAGGCTACATGGAAGATTCTAACAGCCGCTATCTAGGTTTGCTTTCTCAGTTCAGACCCTACTTCTTTAAGGTTTGTTGGTCATAAGGCTACATCCAACTTTAACCGAGTATAAGCTGAATATAGTCATAAAGTAATTGATCCATTAACCACAGTGAAGGCACGTGTGAACAATGATGGTGAGCCATCACACTTATCCAATACCAGTGGCGTCCAAAGTCGTTCATCAATGTTTGTAGTTTGCCAGAGACATGGATCTTGCAGTTTCCACATCGAATAATTCAAAAGCTGATTTTGGCATAACACGTCAAGTGCTTTAATTATTTGTGGATGTTCACAAACTCAAAAGAGTTATCAGAAAGTGATATTGTACATTTACAGTTCTATCGTCTCCCATGTCCTCTTCAGTTCATAGATAATATGATGCTCTATAGATTTATCACTTTCTTTTATTGATCAACCATCAGGTTTATCACTATAAGTTTTTGATACATCACTTCATCTTTTCTTTAGATTTTTTACTGTAATTTGGTGTAAAAAACACATACATACTTACATTAAAAATTAGATTTTACAAAAGAAATCCGGCGCGTAGCGCCGGTGCACCCCTAGTTAATAATATAAACCTCTAAAACTAACTACATTAATTTGATGTAGAAAAACAGAATATGATACAAAATAAGAGATACGAAGTTGGCGATGTGAGGCTCAAGTCTTGATGATTGTAACGGTTTA